TATTGAATTTATGCCTTTACCAAGTGTAAAGTCTCCTACTATTATTGTGGAACTGTCTATTTCTCTTTTCAGTATTGTTAGAGTTTGTTTTATGTATTTTGGAACCCTGTTGTTGGGTGCGTATATATTTATTAAGGTTATATCTTCTCGGTTCATAGTCCCTTTGATCATTATACAATAGTCCTTCCTTGTCTTTTATGGTTGATTTTGCCTTAAAGTCTATTTTATCTGAGATTAGTATTGCTAGTCCTGCCGTTTTTGGGTTACTTTTTGCTTGATTTATTTTTTCCATCTTTTGATTTTTAATATATTTATGTCCTTGTGTCTAAGGTGTGTCTCTTGTAGACAGCATATTGATGGGTCATGCTTTTTTTTATCCATTCTGCCACTCTCTCTCTTTATAGGTGCATTTAATGCATTTATACCCAGTGTTATTTAATAGGTAATGGTTTATTGTTGTAAAACTGTTGTGGTTTTTTTTGTGGTGCTGACATTTTCTTTTTCCTCTTACTTTCCTGTGCTGAGTTCCGTTTGTTCATGGAATTTCTTTTCTTTCATTATTGTAGATTTTGTGTTACTGAGACCTTACGCTTTTCTACTTTTTTATTCCGATGAGTAGGTTTGTTAACTTTCTTTATGGTTGTCTTAAAATTGACCCTTATCTTCCTAAGTTTGAACCAGACTTTTATTACTTGATATTCCCTTGGCTTCTTCTCATTTGAAAGTTCTATACCTACACTGTTTATTCCTCCTTTTATTGTTTTGACGTTGTCATTATTTACAGATTGTCATTTTCTTTTCCTTGTATTAAGTCTTTTAGTTTTGTTTTATGATTGAGATTTCTTTATCTAGACTGGTATTTGGCTGATGCTATTCTATATCCTAGATTCCAGTTGTAGTCTGATGTTGTTGGCTCTCTAATGGAAGGAATCCCTTTAATATTTCTCATAAGTTTTGTTTGTTTTTTCCAAATTCCCTTAATTTCTGTTTACATGAAAATGTCCTAATTTCACCTTCATATTTGAAGAGAGTTTTTCAGGATACATTATCTTTGGTTGGCAGCAGTTTTTTTTTTCTTTAAAGGTTTGATATACATCATTCCATTGTCTTCTTGCCTGCATATTTTCTGCTGAGTAATCAGAGCTTAGTCTTATTGTTTCCCCTTTGACTTTTCATTTTTCTCTAGCTGCCCTCAGTATTCTTTCTTTGTCTTTGGTACTGGCTGCTGTATTATGATATGTCTTGGTGACTTTCTTTTGGGGTCTATCCTATATGGCATTCATTGACATTCTTGGATGGTCAGCTTTTTGTCTTTCATGATATTTGGGAAGTTTTCTGCTAGGAAATATTCAACAATCTTCTCTGTGTTTTCCATTTTCTCCTTCTGTTCTGGAACTCCGATCATGCAAAAATTTTTGCCCTTGATTGTGTCCCACGTAATTCTTAGGTTTTCGTTTTCTTCATTCTTTTCTCTGATTTTTTCCTCAAAGTGGCGTCCGTGGTTTGTCTTCAATCTCACTGATTGTCTTGCATTATTTCAAATTTGCTCCTAAACCCTTCTTTTGAGTTGTCCATTTTGAAATTTTGTGGTTTACCTTTTGCATTTCTAGTCACTATTTCTGTGTGCTAATTGTTCATTTATTTTGATGTTTTGTTCTTGTATTATTTTCCTGAATTGTTCTATTGCTTTGTCTGTGTTTTCCATGATTTTGGTATGTTTTCCTTATTTTTTTTTCTGTGTTTTGCTTGATCTCTTTCCTAATCTCTTGGAGAGCCCTAAATATTAGTCTTTTGAATTCCTTATCAGGTTGTTCCATGCCTTTTCTTCTACTGAAAAGTCATCTGATTCTTTATTTTGGCCACTTGCTGGAGCCATCTTGTCCTACTTTTCTATATGTTTTGATATTGCCACTGTCTCTAAGACATTAAGGTATTATTGTCTTCATTTCCTGCTCCTTTGTTGCAATATGTCAGGGAGGGCAGGCCAGGTGTGCTTTGCTGCTTGCTCGTCTGTGGGCATGATACCTCTTACCACCTTATTTGCGTGGGCAAGGCAGCAGCAAGCAGGGTAAGCCCACTTCACCGTACACTCTTTTGGCGAGGTAGCTGAGGGCAGAATGGGTATGTGTTCTCTGCCTCCTGATGTTCGTCTAGCTGTGTGGGAGCATTCTCAGCCCCTCTCCAGACACGCCAGAGTGTTGGATGGGGAGGGCTGTGCAGTCCTGGTGTGGTGGTGGGCCTGAGTGCCAGGGATGCTTTAGCCAAGATGGCATGGAGGAGGTACTGGTGAGAAAGGGGGGTGGCTTACAGGGCTACGTCGGGGGAGAAAGAAAATAGAGACAAACAAACAAAGAAAAAAAAAGGGAGTCAGTAGGTGGGGGCAGGGTGGACCAGGAACCTGGTGGGAAGTGGTGGAGGTGGTATACAGGGCTAGGTAGGAAGTAAAAATAAAAGAAAGAAAAAGAAAAAAGTAATAAAATAAATGGTGGTATGGTGGGGGTGGTGCAGACCCAGGCAGGGCAGCAGTGGGCTGCTGCACCAGTGGTACTCTATACACACTAGTGTGGCGGGGGCTGGTGGGAAGAGGGGGGAGATGGCATACAGAGCTAGGTGGGAGGGAGAAAGAAAGGAAAAAAGAAAAAGTCTGTGCAGCAGGGATCGGTGAGTGGGGGTGGGGTGGACCCAGTGGCTAGTCAGAAGGGAGGGGAGGTGATGTACTGGGCTAGGTGGGAGGGAGAAAGAAAAAAAAATTGAAAAAAATGGCAGCATGGTGGGGAGCCTCAGGTGGAAGTGGGGCAGACCTAGGGCAGTGGTGGGCCGGTGTACCGGTGGCTCTCTAGCCTCAGTGGCATGACGGGGTCCAGTGTGAAGTGGGGGAGGTGGTATACAGGGCTAGAAGGGAGGAGGGAAGAAAAAGAACTAAGAGGAAAAATAAATAAATAAAATTTTAAAAACTGGCAGCATGGTGGGGGTGGGGCAGTCCCAAAGGCCAGTGGGAAGGGAAGGGAGGTGACATATGGGGTTGAGTGTGAGGGAGAAAGAAAAGGAAGTGGAGAAAAGAAAAAAAAAAGGCACGGTGGGAGCTGCAGGGCAGACCCAGGGTGGTAGTAGGCTAGTGGCTCTCTAACCATGGTGGCATGGTGGGGTCTAGTGGTAGGGGGGTGAAATGGTGTACTGGGATAGGTGGGAGGGAAAAAGAAAAGGGAGATATAACAAACAATAAAAAACCTGGCAGCACAGTGAGGGTTGGTGAGTGCAGGCGGGGGCGGACCCAAGGGCCCGTTGGAAGGGAGGGGAGGTGATGTACTAGGTTAGGTGGGAGGAGAAAGAAAAAAAGAGAAAGAAAAAAAAAGGTTGCACAGCAGGAGCCAGCAGGTGGCGGCAGACCAGTGGCTCTCTAGTTTTGGCAGTGTGGAGGGAGAAAGACAGAAAAGGAAAAAAGGGGAAAATATTTTTTAAAATGGTGGCACAGCAGAAGCCAGAGTCTAGTGGGGTAGACCCAGGGTGGCAGCAGGCTGGTAGCTCTCTAGCCAAGGCACCACGGCATGGCCCGGTGGGAAGGGGTGGCGGTGGTGTGCGAGGCAAAAGAGTGAGAGGTGGGAAAGCGTGTTTCTCTGGTTACTGGGTGTTCTGTCTCCTGTTCAGAGCTCCGTGAAGTTGCCTTTCTGCATTCCCTGTCCAGGGTTGCTGCTTGCTGTGCTCGAAGATGGCAACATTGTGCTGTGTCAGTTGGCAGGGGACCTCTACACCGTATCTCTCCTCATTCTCTGTTTTCTGTCAGTTTCTTCTCCCATTCTGTGTTTGATCTAGTTCTTTATCCCTTCATTTGATGCTTAGGGTTCCAGGACTGACGTTTATATCTGTTTTACTTATTTTTCAGGTCTTTGCTGCAGAGGGACAGCATGATGCATCTGTATAGGGCGCCATGTTGGCTCCACCTCCTCCATAAGGTTTTCAATGGCTAATTTTTTGAAAGTAGATCACCAAGCCTTTCTTCTGAGGTGTCAATGGGTGGACTTGAACCACTAACCTTTTGGTTAGGAGCTGAGCGCATTAACTGTTTGTACTACCCAGAGACATAAATAGCTTCTACATATGACTAATTCCTAAATTAAAATTCTTGTTATATCCTCTTAGTTCCAGAAACCTATTTCTTGTTGTGTATTAGATATTTCCAATTAGATGTTCTGCAGCACCTCAAACATGTCCAAATGAGCTCTTCCTCCTATTTACAATCCAACTATTAGATAATCCCCTGGCAGCTGATGTACTCAACAAGATCTATCAATTTTGCCTCAAAAATATCTTTCTCACATATCCACATCCTTTCTATTCTCACTGACTTAATTTTGGTCCTCATAATTTCTTTTCTAGACTTCAGCAATCAGTTCCTTAACTGGTCCTAACACCTTTACCTCTGACAATACTAACACACAGTATAACTACAATCAAATTAATCTAACAATATAAAATTTAGCCAGTTTTTAAAAATGTTTTTGGAAAATAAGAACCACCACTGGCAAGTTTTCTAGTCCAAGTTTCTGAGCTGTAAATTATTTCTGATTTATATAACTTCATTTCTGTACCTATGGAATCCCTAAATATCTTTTCCTTATTCCATCCTACCTCTCCATCCCACAAAGGCATCATGGAAGCTAGAGTAATATTTTCCAAGTCTGCTCAGAACTTGACAGTGTGGGCTTTGGCAGTAATAGATTTTTATATCTAGCCCACATTCCAATGTATATAATCGACATGAAAGTATGTTGGGTGTGAACTGTACATATTTTTTTTCATTCAAATGTAATGAGTACCTATAGGTATAAAGCATATAATTTCTAACAATATGCCTCAGTGATTATTTCTAACCTGGAATTTTCTAGTTAGGATTTCAGTATTTCCCAGATATTGAACACTTATAATGACATTTTAACATTTTCATATAGAAGGTTTAAGAAGTCAGCTTCTCAATCACAGCCATTTATTTGTTAATTTCTTACCCAATGGAGGCAGAATTTGTAAAGATGAAATGTTTTTCACACTCTGTAATTTTTCTAATTCTTGATGATTAAGTGTTAACTGGTTGTGATTTGGTGGTATTCCATACGAATGTGTGGTCTGATGAACAGAAGTTGAGTCTTGCATAGAAGATTGTATCTGCTAAGATAAAGTAAAAACAATTATCTTTCAGAATTTTAACCACATAAGAAATTTAACTAAGAGAATGTAAACAGAAGAGGAAAGAATATAATTTAATACTACCTTTTGAACACCATATCATTTAAGTCACACAACCCTGTGAGGTATAATTATCCCTATCTTACAGATGAGGAAGCTAAGGTTTAGAAAGATTAAGTAACTCGGCCATCATATAGCTCATAAGAAGAATTAGTCAAATCCTATTATCTTAGTTACTAGTACACATAGACACATGCCATTAAACAGTGCTATTCATTTTCAAAAGGAGCCCTGGTGGTGCAATAGTTAAGTGCTCAGCTGCTAACCTAACAGTTGGCACTCTAACCCACCAAGTGGCTCTGTGGGAGAAAAGACCTGGTAATCTGCTCCTGTAAAGATTACAGCCTAGAAAACCTTCTGGGGCAGTTCTACTCTGTCACACAGGGTTGCTATGAGTTGAAACTGACTTGATGGCATTTAACAACAACTCATTTTTAAATGCTTTCCAGTGATCCACTGAAAATAACAACTGAGCTTTTATACCAAGTCTAGAGATCAATCCACTTTCTTTACCCCCTTTTCCTTATTGAATTACAGATATGAGGGGGGAATTTAAAATCAACAAATTCTGATTCAGTATTAACTGTTTATTAAAAGCTGTACTGTAATAATAAACATTTATTTAATGCTTACTATGTGTGAGGCACCAGGCTAAGGCCTTTATATATTTTTTCTTTAATAAACCTATAAGATATAAATATTATCCGTATTTACAGTTTATAAAAGGACTTAGAAATAAAGTAACTTGCCTAAGATCTCACACCTATCCAGTGGCAAACTAAGTTACAGTATCAAAGCCCAGATACCTTATTTATTAAGCTCTGAGTTGCAGGCAGTACAGAAAGGAATAGGACAGTCTTTCTCCTCATTCTAATAAGGAGATTGGGGATGAGTGCATAGACAAAGCAAGTGTATGTATAGCACCTATGCTAGCCTGATGAAATGACTTTCACAGTACTGTTTATCCCAATGATAATGCAGACCCAAGTCCAAAGCTTAAAATCAAAGGCTGAGGTTTAAATAAACAAAAGGTCATTTTCTGAAATACACAAATATACTCATGCATTAATTAATCTATAGATTAATATATACCCTCCTGTATCACATATGGGCATTTTCTTCCTTAGTGAGCAAAATATTTTGGCCACAAATAGATTGTAATGATGGTATTCCACATGGTATATATTAAGAATGCTTTCAAAGTTCTTTCTTAACTTGGTATGATTTTCTGATTCTACTAATACCTATGGCAAGACAGACCACCTGTATCTTCTTCCTACTCAAAAGCCGTTGAGAACTCACTCCTCCCTACCAAAGTGTTGTTAGCTGCCATCCAGTTGGCCCTTGACTCATGGCGACTCCATGCACAATGGGATCAAACTGTTGTGATTCATAGGGTTTTCACTGGCTGATTTTTTTTTACGTAGATTGTCAAGCCTTTCTTTCTAGTCTGTCTTAGTCTGGAAGCTCCACTGAAACTTATTCGACATCATGGCAACATGTAAGCCTCCACTGACAGATAAATGGTGGCTGTGCTTAAGGTACATTGGCTGGGAATCAAACCTGGGTGCCTACACGGAAGGTAAGAATGCTACCACGGAACCACTACTGCCCCCCCAAAATTAAATATTAGTAATTCACTTAGAAGGCGCAACAGTTAAGAGCTCGGCTGCTAACTGAAAGGTTGGCTGTTTGAACGTACCCAGCAGCTCCGGGGGCGGGGGGCAGGGGGAGACCTGGCAGTCTGCTCCCAGAAAGATTACAGCCTAGAAAACCCTAAAGTACCTAACAACAATTCACTTAGATATTCAAAGTACTCCCTATTATATTCCCCAAACCATCTAATCCCCTGCTTCCTTACAAATATCCTTGCTGCTACATTTCCTTGAATACACCTGCTGCGCTTTTTTTGCCTCTCTTCATGCCTTTGTTTAAAAAATAAGCCCTTAATCTGCATGTCAGTATACTACCCATTTCTTCCTTTTCCTATCCTTTCAAATTCAGTTTAAGCATTACCTTCTCTGTGAAACCTGTCCCTCCTTCAGGAAATACGTATTCCTCCCTCATTTTCTCCATAAATTTTGAACATAGATTATTATAACATTAATCATACAGTCTCTTAACCGTGTGATTATACCCCTTCTCACAATTTAGAGCTCCTTCAAGCCAGTGTTATTTATCATTATATTCCCCTAACATAGTTACATGTTGTTAAATAAATTCACTGTAATCCTATATCTGGGATGGGTACAAAGGATAAAAAAAATTGTATATGAGGATGACAACCTCAATTAGTAAAACAACAAAAAAATTACTTCTATCCTTTACAAAGCATATCAACTACTAATCAAACACAGAACTGCTACAATGGATAGCTGGCAATTACAAGCATTATCTTTAGAATCCCTAGCTATCATTCTCACACTATCTTTTTTTCATTTTATTTTTTCTTCCAGTTTTTTAATTGTACTTTAGATGAAAGTCTACAGAACAACCTAGCTTCTCATTACACATTTAGTACATATATTGTTTTATGACATTGGTTAACAACCCCATGACATGTCAGTACTCCCCCTTCTCGACTTTGGGTTCCCTATTACCAGCTTTCCTGTCCCCTCCTGCCTTCTAGTCCTTGCCCCTGGGCTGGTATGCCCCTTTAGTCTCATTTTGTCCTATGGGTCTGCCTAATCTTTGGCTAAAAGGTGAACCTCCAGAATGACGTCATTACTGAGCTAAAAGGGTTCCCTGTTGTAAATCTTTTAGTTTTGATCAATCCTTGAGCATTAATTTCCTAGACTGAAATCTGGTTGGTGCGGTTTTGCATCCTAGATTCAGGCTATTGTATGATGTTGTTTGTTCTCAAACTGAAGGACTCCCTTTAATAATTTTCATAAGTTTGGTTTGGTTTGGTTTGGTTTTTACATATTCCTTTAATTTCTGTTTATTGTGAAATGTTCTAATTTCACCATCATATTTGAATGAGAGTTTTGCAGGATATATTATTCTTGGTTGGCAATTTTTGTTTTCAAGGTTTTATATATGTCATCCCATTGCCTTCTTGCCTGCATGGTTTCTGCTGAGTAATTAGGGCTTAGTCGTATTGTTTCTCCTCTGTATGTGACTTTTTGTTTTTCTCGAGCTGCTCTCAGTATTCCTTCGTTTTTGGTTTTAGTGAGTGTGATTATGATAAGCCTTGGTGATTTTCTTTTGGGGGTCTAGCCTATATGGGGTTCGTTGAGCTTCTTGGACATTCAGCTTTTCATCTTTCATGGTATTAGGGACGTTTTCTTTCAGCAATTCTGCAATGATCCTCTCTGTGTTTTCCATTTTCTCCCCGTTGTGGAATTCTGATCACTCGAAAATTTTTGCTTTTGATTGTATCCCACATCATTCTCAGGGGTTCTTCACTTTTCTTTGTTCTTTTTTCTGATTTTTCCTCAAAGTGGTATCCAAGTATTTATTTGTCTTCACTTTTGCTGATCCTGTCTTCCATTGTTTAAAACTTATTCTTCAGCCCTTCTATATAACACTGTCCATTTCTGAAATCCTGCTGTTTACCTTTTGGATTTCTAATTATTGTTTTTGTATGCTTTCCAGTTGTGAATTTATTTTGGCATTTTGTTCGTGTATTATTTTCCTGAATTCTTCCATTTTTTTTTTGTCTGTATTTTCCATGAATTTGTCTGCTTCTTCCATGAATTTGTCTATTTTTTCCTCACTTTAGTCTGCTTTTTGCTTCAACTCTTGGATATCTCTGAATATTAGAGATTTGAATACCCTATCAGGTAGTTCTAGTGCCTTTTCTTCTACTGGAAAGTCATCTGGTGTTTTATTTTGTATGCCTAGTGGAACCATCTGGTTCTGTTTTTTTTTTTTAAATATGTTTTGATATTGTCTGTTGTCTTTGGGACATTCAGTAGTTATTTTCTTCATTTATTGATTGCAGATTTGTTTCATCCTGCTTTTTTGTTTTATTTGGTTATGTCTGAGCAGGCGGGCTGTGCATTCTTTATTGTTTGCTCATCTGTGGACAACAGTATTTTTCACCTCCTTGTCCAATGGGCAGGACCAGCCACTCAGCTGTGGTGCAGCAGGGCAGGTCCAGCTGAAGGGAAGTGGCTGGAATAGGCTGTTTGTGGCACGTACTGGGTCCAACAAGGTGAGCTGGGGGCCAGTACAGGGCAGGTTCAGGTAGGCCGTGCCTGTGCTGCTCAGGAGTGCAATGTTCAGCATACGGTGAAGATAGGCAGGAGGGAGGGGGTGGGGGAGATTGTGATGTGTGGAGCTAGGTTGTGTATGGAAAAGAAGAGAAAGAGCAGAGAGAAACAGGAGCAAAAAAAAGTGCTGAGGAAGTCTGCCGTTGCAGTGGGGAGACAAGAAACCAAGAACCGAGGAAAAAGAAAAAGAAAAAAAATGCCCCCAGGGATCCCACTGGCACAGCTGTGCAGACCTGGGAAGCAGCTCCCAAGCTGCACAGTACAGCCTGGCTAGAAGGGGTGTAGATGATACACAGTACAAGGTATTCAGGAGACAGGAAAAGAAGGTAAGTAGAAAGAGACAAGAAGCTGAGAAATGCAGAAAAATAAAAAGGAAAAAAGAAAGAGGAAAAAAAAAAGAAAGAAAAAAACAAAGCCCCCAGGGATTCCACCAGCATGGTGGTGTGGACTGGGGAAGCAGTTCCCCAGCTGAGCGGCGCTTCACAGTCTGTAAATAAGCGAAGATAGCACATGGAGTCAGGTGTTCAAGAGAAAGGAGGGGGAGGAGGTGAGAGGCAGCGAAGAAACAAAGAGGCCAAAAAAAGCAACACCAGCCACAAGGAAATGACAGTGAAAAAGTCAGCTGGCGTGGATGGGGAGAATCTGCGTGGCACGGAACCAGCGCCTCCCGTGCTGCGGTCATGGCCCATTGGGAAGTGGCAGATCTGCCCGCCAGGAAGCAGTGAATCAGCCCACCAGGAAGTCCTGGATTGTTCCACTGGGCAGAAGTGAACAGGCCCTCTGGGAAGCCAGGAATTGGCCCACTGGGAAGCCGGTAATCGGCCCACCGGGAAGCCGGGAATCAGCCCACAGGGAAGCGGTGAAGGCTGAGCAGGGGGAGGTTGGGTGAGGGGTAGGAAAGTGTGTCTCACTGGTTACCAGGTGCTCTGTCTCCTGCTGGGAACTCCCTGAATCTGCTTTCCCGTACTCCCTGTCCGCTGATCTCTGACAGGAGTCCAAGATGGTGGATCTGTGCTGTGTTAGCTGATAGGGGACCTCCGCTCGTAACTGTCCTCACTCTCTGTTCTCTGTCAGTTTCTTATGCCATTTGGTGCTTGGTTGAGTTCTTTATTTCTTCATTTGATGCTTAGGGTACCAGGACTGATGATTGTCCCTGTTTTTCTGGTCTTTGCTGCAGAGGGACGGTGTGGTGCTGCTATCTACAGCGCCATGTTGGCTCTGCCCCCTTCTTTTTTTTAAAGAAACTTCAACTTACTATGCACACAGTACTGCGCACACATGGAGATAGCAAGGCCATTATCGCCTACATTCCAATTTCCAAGGCTAAACTGAAGCTTCTAGAATTTGTTGTACTAATCTGTTTGACTTACATAACAGCTCTATCCTGTTAGAAAAATGAAGCCAAATAGTTTCTCTATTCAATCTTCTTTAGGAAGAAATCTTTGAGCATTTAGCTGATAAGCTGAAGAAAGTGACAACTCTTTTCATGTTAAGTCAACCAAGAAAGCTACTACTTACTATACCAGTGAGTTATAACATATATACCTTATAAAGTCTAAAGTACAAATAAAGAATTAACTTACCTTTACATTCTCTTTAGAAGGAGAATCATTCTGTTTCACTCCAGTAAATTTAGGAAATATTTCTGCAAGTGTACATAAATTAAGTATTTCAATATTTGCCAGCTTAAGAAATTACCACCTAAATTAGAAATAAAATGGTGATTTCAAGAGAATTCCTTTAATATCAACCTCTTAAATCAAGAAATTCTTAATAGTCACAGGGTTTGGCCCTCTCTGAATTAGTCAACTTTTCTAAAGGGATACTAGTTTTTCAGGTATTTTCTTTTGCACATAATGGAATAAATATCCATTCTAAATTTCAATTTGGATTATGTTTAGACAAGAAAGAACAGTGTGTTACTTCACAGTAAAGAGCGTGAATAAGTGATAGCTTCAAAAGAAACAAGTTACAACAGAGATAACAAGGTTTTAAAAAAGCAGTACCAATTATACTAAAATCATCTTTTACCAAATAGTTACAAATGAAGCCATTAAGAGGCTTAATTAAAATAATTAAGAATTTATTAGAAGGGTATGGTCATTTATCTGAGTGGATAGCCTTTTATTAAAAGTGAAGCTATCTGATCTCTGTGGTAAAGTGTGCTCTGCTTGCTAAGCTCTATAACAAATATCCCATCTAATTAATAATCTTTTTATTTACTTCCAAGCTATTTGGCAGCCTCAACTACATAACAAATGAGTTTTTTAGTACATAGTACCTCCTTTACCTTTAGAAATATCTTTACAGCTGACACTGCGAGTAGAAGTAGATGTAAAAAGAGATATCGTTGGCAGGGTGCTAATCAGTCTCTCTTATCTTTACCGTACAATTGATTCTGGTGCTATCCTCCCCAATCACAAGCCTAAGTAAGTGTGGCAGAGCATCAAGCTGGTAGTCACTGCCTTGATCCATCTCTTTAGGCCAGCTTTCATGAACCACCTGAGTGCTATTTGCTTTAGGCTCCAGGGCACCAAGGCTGGTCAACACCAAGTATTATTTAAACTTAAAACATTCTAATTTTAATAATTACCTTCTGCCTCCTGAAATGCCATCAGTTTCCATTGGATGTGTTACTGTTCTTTCCTCTCCTAAAATGTTTGATGCTGGACATTGTTAAAATTGCTACATGCCACTCAATGACGTGCTTTAATTTAAAGAATTCAAGTATTTAAAATGATATGAGTCATCTTAATGTTACTCCACTAAGTATTATTAAGTGTCAGGGGTTAAGTTGAAGGGGAAGAGAAGATAGCCTGCAAAGATTGAGGGTATAGATTCAGGTAGTTCACATTTAGGGGAGAAATTATGGTTTCAGCTTTGAACAACAACAAAAAAACAGACTTCATTAATATGATTATATAATATATGCACAACTATACATCTATCTTATTATTCAAATATGGACCTAAACTACATTATCCTGTAATATAAACTATACTAAAAAATATAACATTGCATTAGTGTTCTGCTAAAAACTTCAAGGGCATCACCTTAGTTTTCTGAGCTATAAAATTAAAGCTCAGAATTACTATAAAATTAGTATCTCAAAAACTGAAAACACTAGCGAAAGGCATCAAAGAATTAATAGAAAAAATCAAAACCACTGAGTATTGTCTGTCTCATAAACGTCTTACAGATTATAGATAGATGAATAATGATAGCCTATAACTCAGCATTTTGCTTCTCATTCTAATCTTACATAACTGCCTTTCCAGGAGCACAGTAAACCAAAACTGCTACATGTCTCTTTATATATGAGATCCTGGTCTTTCGAATTAAAAGGTAAGCATACATATTTTCACTATCAAGCTTAGGATCACATTTCAATTAGCAAAGAAGCCCTACCAGGTCTAACAAATATCAATTAAATTGAGCACTATAACGACAACATATACATCAAAAAACTTCTCTGGGGAACTTTGATAACATGCACACACCTACCTTATAAGGATCAAATTAGGTAATATACATAAACTAATAAACAAATGCCTACTACACGCATTACACAGTATGTGCTCATTTCACATCTCCCCAAAAACCTCAATATAAGGCTTTGATTAGAAAGTCTGCCTTGTAAAATCATTTAATTATAGAATAAAAAAAGAGCTGGAAAGAACCACAGAGATTCGATGAAAGGGCTTATTTAACACCTACCACCTATCAAGGCACTGAGATAGATGGTTCAGAAATACAAAAATTATCAGCAATTTAACTTGGACTAAAAAAAACTTGAAAAGTTGAATAGGAATATAAAGCCATAATGCAAAAACAGAATACAATGCTATATGTACCAGAAATCATTACTGAAGATTTTTAAATTAAAAAAAACAAATTACTCACTTTGGTTACAGAGGACAGGATATAGAAAAATGATTGGAAGTTACTATCTGGTTCTACAACCTTATTTTATAAGAAAGCAAGCAGGTCCAGAGATGTTAAATGATTTACCCAAGTTTATCATCCAAGCCATATTCTATTGACAAAAAGCAAGCTTTCTGTTTTTGAACTAAAAAAAAATTTGCTCCCTTTAAAGAATGTTTTGGCAATTTTCATTGAAGCAGTTGAAAAAGCAAAACAATTATAAAATGCCTCTTACTTTTACCAAGGGCTAGAAAGTAAAAAAAAAAAAAAAAAATCTACACTAATGGTTCTCAAACTTGGCAGTACATGAGAATCACATGGGAAACTTTTAACACTACATATACCTAGCCCTACTCCCAATTCAATTAAAATCCAGACACAATATTTTATTGAAAAGTTTTCCAAGTGACTCTAATGTACTGCGCTAAGGTTGAGAAACATTATTCTAGACAGTCTTGTTTATTCAGGATGACTCAGTTTAAGCAGAAAAAATTTTAAATGCAAAAGACAAAATTCATCACTATCTCTAAGACCCAAGCAAAGTTCAAGGACGGGCCTCAATATATGCATTTTTTATTAAGCTGGGGTTGCTGAATTTTATCCTTCTAGTACGTTGAACCAAAATGCTTTGATGAGAAGCTAAATAATATTTTAAATGATGAACTCTAATCGTTTGTTTTAAACTTATTAGCTTGAATAACGAAGATTATTCCAAGACTGTCACTGCATACTTCCTGCATTTACTAAATCATTCCAAAAAATTATAATAAAATCTAGGCTCGAACCAAGTTAGTCCTTTTGCCCTTGCATGAAAAAAAAAATCACATTCTTGTCACTTCTATAGAAGGCCTGAAGATTACACTAAAGCCAATAAAAGTCCAAAGGGCAAAGTGACAAATTCACTTCAAGTCTTTACCAGGTAAAGAAAAGTAGTGAGTTGATGCCATAATACTGAATTTGTGTTTAACAATTGAAATTGAACATTTCTGAAAAATATTCTATTTCACACTAATATGAGCCTACATTTTAGACAGTTTTTAGAGTTGTTTCCACAAGATTTCAATCAAAAGCACTAGTACTGTTGAGCTGCTCTATTTGATTCCTTTTTCTCGGTAATATTTATGAGTCATAGGATTAAAGCCATTAGTTATTAGTTATATTACTCCCTATTGTATCACTCAAGATAGTGTCAGAGTTACTGTGCATTAGGAAAACTTTCAATAGCTTATGGGTTCATACTAGCACAGCCTAGCCAATGTAGACATAGGCATCTGGAATTAATTTTATTCTCAAGCCCCATTTACATCTTTGATCTGACATTTAATGATAATTTGGAAAGGTTTTATATTTATACCAATATTTAATAAATGTTCTTGACTCATCTGCACATGACTACTTGCATATCTTGATTTCAGTCAGGTGCCCTGGTGGCACAGTGGTTAAAGCGCTGGGCTGCTAACCAAAAGGTCAGTGGTCTGAACCCACCAGCTGCTCCATGGGAAAAAGATGTGGCAGTCTGCTTCTGTAGAGATTTTACAGCCTTAGAAACCCTATGGGGCAGTTCTACTTTGTCCTATAGGGTTGCTATGAGTTGGCATCGACTCAAGCGCAATGGGTTTGGTTTGAGTTCTGAAGTCAGTCAAGAAGATAATTTAAATGATAAAATCAAATCACATTGAAATTTGTAATAAAGTACTGCTTCTAGTCTACATACTTCTCACCTTTATTTTTCATGGACTTGGGGTTTCATCATAACTTTCTTAAAATTGATTTAATATGTTGTTTGAAATGATAAGAATTACTTAAAGTGAATTCCCTATATTTTTAAATAAAAATTTTCTTGGAAATCAATACTCTGCCACTAACTAATCCTTTTCTACAAAGCAGAACTAATGAGTTCGTATTTTTCAAAAGTGTATAATCTGAAGTTTGAGAATACATGAAAGATAACTGTTTAAATAATAATGGAATGAACAGTCCTAACACTACTTATAGCACTTACAAGTTTTTCACAGATAATACTCTTAAAAATTTAGGCACACGTAAACAGAATATTTCAGTAAAGAGAAACCAACTCATAATACAGGATAACCATAAGAACAGCGAGTCAATAATATTAAGGAATTCAGAAAAGTGAATTTAGAGCTCTGTTCCTGAAAACCGAAATTCTAAAAGACTGTGACTTGATTAAGAAAAATGCATATAGCGAAATTATTATAAAGATCCAGGAAGACAAGTATTAAAAAAGATTAAGAAAAAATTACTAAAGATCAATATCTATCAGAAAATAATCCCTCACAGAACCTTTCAGAAGTTTCCTCTATTAGGAATTAGAAAAGATGGAATTAGATTCCTATCGACTATCTTGAATAATCAAAAGCCCAATTAACCAGAGCTCTGGGAATCAAGGTGGTATTCAAACGTAAGTTTCAGTTCTGGACAAATCATACTTTTAAAGCTACAAGATCTTTATATTTTCAGTTAATTTTCACTTATGTAACCTCAGAAAAAGTTTTTGCTGATGTACCTAATTTTCACAAATTATATTTTCTCAGTAAATAGCCCTATTCCTTCCTGAACTTTGACATAGGATTTGTCATCTATTGCGCAATCAAGAATAGTAAATACTTATTTTTACAATAGGTATTACTATTGATATAGTCTGACCTGCTTGTTTTTCATGACTTACTGTCTTTTTCTTTATAGTTTGTTGCTGTTATTTTTCCCAGGAAAGTAAAATATGTTCTTGAGCCTTGAAGTATTTCAATGGGTACAACTGAAGTTAATATTTAAAACAAAAGGTCCTATTGCTTCATTTACTGATTTATTTTATTAACAATTTTCTCCCCATTAAGTTAGACTTTGCATTCACAATTCATATTCTACATACACAGTATTTTTCCAATAAAGTATGCAGTTTGAATGTTCATAAGACAAATTGATTTTAGTGTCACAAACCTATACACTATCCACAAAGTAGACAGAAATACAAAAAAATGCTACTTTGATTTCATTTTAGAAATAATATATAAAACAGCTCCTTTTAATCGAAAAAGATGACATTAAAGAAGAATATCAGTCATAAAATAAAAATTCAACACAAGCAGTGGTTTAAGATTAGAATTCTGAGGCTGAGTTATTCTGTTGGAAAGTTAGGAAAAGAGAAGACATATATTGTACCACTTTAAGAAAGCATCATTGATAAACATTCTTTCCTTTGAGTAACATAATGGAATATTCTATCAGAAACTGATAATTCAAATTAAAATCAAGGTACTTTATTGAAGCGCTGCATATATAGTGCTTTGCCTCTAGTACTCAACGCACTTATTGACCAATTTTCGATATATAATTAGATAACTCAAACTAACACAATAAGAATTTTATCCTACAAATAAAAGACAAAATGCTCTAACTTATTACACCACAAATGCTTTATTAGATGAAATTACAAATGCTAATTACAATTTTAAAAACTAAACGGAACTTAAGATTTTTTCCAGAAATTGTTTTATGCTTAAAAGTCAAATATAAGGAAATAATGTATAATTAGAGCCCTAAATTAATTTTTAAATTTTCTACTATGACAAATTCCAGCAAAAGTGAAAACTGTGTATATTCTTACAAAAAAATGCAGTATGTTTACCACTATATATTTCAGAAATGTAAAAAACAAAATGCAGCAATCAACACCACATAAATAGAAACTACACAGAACCAAACGTGAAATAGAATGTATTGCGAGCCAGTGGACCTTCACTATCAGACAAAAATAAGAGGAACACTCTTAACAAATGCTATGAATTCCTGATGCGACAATATTCTGTGTGGGGTGTTCTTCAAGGGAGAATTAAATTTCATGACAAACAAGAAACATCTCATTTAAAAATAAAACAAAATTTTAGGTACAAAAGTGTCTTATATTCTGAATTTGTCTTTTGGTCAACAATGATGGAACATCACTGCTAACTCAATATCCTTGGGGCAGTGATTACTTTGTCAACTACATAACCATTAACAAAAAACAAAAAGAAAACATGAATCATTTAGGCTTGGTACAGTTGATGCTGAACCACACAAAGTAATACAATACTTTAGCATAACTGACAATCTTAAATTAAAGTACATTTTTCGATAAAAGGACGACAACATTCGACAGTGAAGAGGCTACAGAAGTGAAAAGAAATATGTTTTACATAGTTTCTGGAATGATTGATTTTTTAATTCAAAATGCTAATGCAATTCAGAATGTATTGTCACAACAGGAATACTTTGCAACATTAGAGTGATCTATCACACTATAACATGTGCCACATATATGTATACAATAAAGTGAAAGATGTCCTCAAGTAATCTTTTATAAAAAAGAAGTGAAGATCTTCTATTTTATTTTCTCATATTTCCTGGTATTAAGATCTGGTATTATTTAGCAAGTGACTGCTCCACCTTTTGAAAACTTATTTTCAACATTATTAAGCCTATAAGTCACGTAGGTATAATATAAAGTTTCATTTTATACAGTATCTATTTTAAGGCATGAGAAAATATTAAGATCGTCTACGTGCAATTAAATAATAAGTGTGACAACCAAAACTATAGGTTCTGGGTAAGTAACAAATATCTCTTCAAAATACGTCTCAGTATTACATGAAAAGAATTGCCCCAAAACAGAGGTACACTTAAGGGGACAGCTAACCTGATTCAGAATCACTGCTGTCTGAAGAACATGAATCACTGCTACTACTTTCAGACGCTGATGAGCTGCTGCTGCTGCTGCTGCTGCTTTCACTCAATCGGGAACCGCTTACAACTGCGTTGGATGATTGCGTTTTCTCAGCTACAAAATACGGAAACACATTAAAACGCCAATAAAATTAAATAGCCTCAGGAACATTTTAAAACTGCCACTTACATTTTGTTTGACGTTTTCTAGAATTTAACTGATTATTGACATCCAGTAACCGCTTTTCCAACTCTTGTTTTTTCTGTGAATGAAGTTCTTCCTTGGACTTCATTATTTTCTTAGCTGTGTAATTTTGGGGTGGGGGGACAAAAAAACAAAACTGAGCATCACCAAAAACTAACACACATACCAGACTGATTTCTATTAATATACAGAAGTACATACCATAAGGTTTTAGTGGTCTTTTTCTTAGACATGCTGCAACATATTTTTCTAGTTCTCTCAATGTTGATGCTTTCAGTGTTTCAAAGTCTATCTCTATCTCATCAGGATTCGAATTTCTCAGTGAAGGCTCTCTTGAGTGTATTATATGAACTATTCGCCCAAGTTTATCTCCAGGGAGTTTGTTTATATCTAAACTTAACTGCCTTTTCTCATCATAATTCATAGGTTTAGCATTATCTTCATCTTCAGATTTCAGACCAAGGACCTGTTGTTTCCTCTTCTTTGGCTGACTGTAACAAAAATTAAATTTAGTCTGATTTATTTTAGGTAATGTTATGTTTTAATAAGCCATCATAGAAGATACTTACTTGTTCTTGGCGTTTTCCTTTAGTTTCATTTGCTTAAACTTTTTCCTCGGATGTTCATCTCTGTTATTAAACTTTTCTTTTTTCTTTTCCCTTTTAGACTTCTCATTCTTTTTCTTGAGTTTACGGAAAGGTACTTGGGACAGAACCTGCAGTTGTTGATGAACAGCTTTAAGCTGATAAAGGAAAAAGTCTTTAAATATTCATGGCTCCAAATAATTAAAGACACTAAAAAAATGAAGGTATTCAAAAGTCAAGAGTATCCTTTGTGAAATTCATATTATATTTATTTCTTTCAAGTTATTTCATTTCATAAATTCATTGTTTTGAAGGACATATATTAAACTACATACACTATCATGTACTCAATCCTTAAGATTCATCTATACCAGAGCAAGAATAATTTACACTTCCTGGTAGTCTTAAGTTTTTAATAATTGATTTTGCAAGCTTGAGCTCAGAGCAGGTTAACATTTTATCACAAAAGGTAGCAAATGTTAAAGATTTCATCCATAAAACATCTCAGATTATGTCATACAAATTGCTTCAATATTTATATTCTTAACCACTAATTACTGTGGTTAGGAATATAAATAACAGAATTTTAAGATACATAGATTTTTGTGTATGAAACACTATTAAACATTACAAATGTGCTAATAAGTAGATCAAGCCATAGTTGCTATGGCATAGTGGCTAAATACCATAGCTTTTAATCTATGAGAAGAATTTTATAAATGATCTATCAGTAGTAGTTCATAGAAAGGAATATCAAAAGTTGTTATCAATACAGTAGTCAAATACCTGCTCCTGAAGCTTTGTAAGACGTTGAACTCGTTCATCTTCGGAATCATCAGAAGTTTTATCTTCAGAGGAAGCGTCACCACTGCTTTCTCTACCAAACGTTTTTGTGGTATCTGTTTTGATGTAACATAGAGGCATGCTCTCAACAGGTTCATCAGGGATCTTTGCAAAATGCCTTTCAAAAACATCCTGTAACAAAAAAATGAGACTGTAGAAGTTTTCTGCATTTCTGATTTAATGCTGCAATAATACCTTCTAACAAAGGGAGCATTTTAATATCATATTTTCATCAGAATTTTTTTCCCCTTTAAGATATAACAGAAGAAGAAATATAGTAAGCAGAAAGCATAAGTAAAAAGACTCATGCTTCCCTCCTTGCCAACATTAGCAATTTTTCTCTCTTTTCTAGACAAGACAGGCTTCTAGGACCTCTGAAGTTATACAGGAGACCCACTTTCAACGGTTTTTCATCCTTAATTTGGTGCATCATTCTACTACCTCCCAAGGACTGTTCCAAAAGTCTGTGGCCTTCCCTTCAGTGGGACATGGGCTGCAGTCAATTCTATCTCAGGTATCTACTGTCCCCTCTTCACTAATATTTCCCAATTTCCTCTGTATCCAAGGCAGCAGCATTAAAAAAACGAAAAACAACAACAAAAACACCAAACAAAAAAGCACATGGTTTTAGGAGTATAATTTATAAAACTGCTTTTTACTACTTGGGGTAGGGTGTGTGTGTATGTTATTCTTTATGTCTTGAATTATGGTTCTAAAATTTCTAAACTGTGTTCAGAGGAAAAATACTTTCAGAGCACAGTAAACTCACTTGGAACATTCTTGCCATTGTCCCTATTTCATGATCTGGAGGGCTGTATTTGTAGCAATTCATGAACATTAATCTAACATCTGCAGCAAATTCGTATGTATCCTTATACTCTTGGTTGTCCATTTTTCACTTAATGAAGGGAAAATTACAGGACTCACAAACAACATAGTTCAATAATTATTTGAGCACTTATATTGTTTATATTATTCAAACATACAGAAAATACTAAAAAACAGACACCCACCACCCAGATCTGACAAACATTAAAATCTGCTACATTTGTCTCAGAACTTTTAGACATCAAAAAATCCAGTGGATTTTGACAAGGAGAGATAAAGAAGCGAGACATTACAGGTACAGAAAAGAACAGGAAAAAGAGTCACAAAAACAGGAAAATATAGTGTTTTCAGATAACTGTGGGTAGACAAGTTTCACAGTAGGGAAGTAGTTAAAAGATGAACCCTTTAAACCAACCTTGAACATCTAAATGAAGAGTTTATGGTTTGGAGAAAAATGTTCTATGAATAGTAATAAAAAGAAAACAGTATTTCTAAATTAGTGTTATTTTACAAAGTATACAATTTTAAACAGGTATATGTACCTAAATTTAAAATATAAATTTTATGAATAGGCATTTGATTGATTCATCTATATATCTGTTATGGACTGAATTGTGACCCCTAAAAAGGTATGTTAAAGTTGTAACCCTTGGTACCTGTGAATGTGAACTTGTTTAGAAATAAAGTCTTTGAAGGTGTTATCAGCTAACATGAGGTCATGCCGGAGTACAGTGAGTCTTAATCCAATATGAGAAGACCGAGGTAGAGATTGGAGTGATAACATCTACAAGCCAAGGAACGTCAAGGATTGCCAGGAACCACCAGAAGCAAGGACAAGACGAGAAAGGATCTTCCCCTAGAGCCTTTAGAGAGAGCATGGTCCCTACTGACACCTCGACTGCGTTATAGTTAGGCACATATGGTATATGCTCAATTTCAATAAGTAATAAAATCGAGAAAAAAATGAAAAAAAAAATTCTCCTGGGAATGAAAAGACATTAAAAATTGAACAGAGGAGTAAAAAATATATATATAAAGAAATATATTAGGTGGCTGAATATAAGCAGATAGAAGAGTGGGGATGTAGACAGACAGTCATTAAAAAAGAAAACAAACAAAAAAGATAATCCAATAGACTACTGGGCAAAACATGTGTATATTAATGGACAATTCACAAACAAATACAAAAGGCCAACAAAGGCAACATGCTGGCTTCATTTATAATTAAAGAAATTAATTTATTAAAATAAGAAACAATTTTCCACCCGTCAGATAATTGGCATAGGTAAGTACAAACAACAAAACTAAATAAAGTCATCATCCTCTTGCCCTTGAAATCCTGTAACAGCCTCCTAACTAGTCTCCCTACCTCCAGTTTTGCCTCACTTCCAAATCTTTCTCCACACTGCTGCTAGAGTAACCATTATAAAGATCAAATAGGAGGACATTATTCTTGAATTTAATATGAAAATGGTTGCTCTAGGTCTCTTCACAATAAAGGCCTTTCATGATTTCCTTCTAATCTCATTTTCCCTCAGTGATTTCTTCATATTCTCCACGTGTCTCAAGTTAGCCTAAATATAGTATTCTGAATATATTCTGCTCAATTCAAAGCCTTCCTACAAGTTGTTCCCCCTGCCTGGAATGTCCTACAACTTACTAAGTCCTATTTATGCTTTAAAACTCTGATCAGGTGCTACCTATTTCAGGTAATGTACCATGACCTCTCAGTGGAGTTAGAATACCAGGGAAGGCAGAGAAGCAAAATTTTGAAGAGACAGTGGTTACACTTTGAGAATTTAAGAAAGACATGAATGTTCAGCCTGAAAGTGCTAATTTCCAATCAAGATAAATAAAATTAAATGCAAAACTAGAAAGAAAGATTACCTACAGGGATGACAAATAGACTGATAGCAGACTTCTTATTAGCAATAATAGATGCCAGAAGATATCTTCCAAGTGTTGAGGGAAAATAACTGTCATTCTAGAATTCTAAAGTCAGTAAAGTATAAGTCAAGCGTGAGGACAAACTATAGACATTTTCAGACATACGAATACAAGGAGTTTACTACCTGTAGATGCTCATGGAAGAATCACTAAAGTTTGCATGTCAACAAAAAGAAAAACCCAGAGGAGAAGAATAGGATGCAAAAAAATGAGGGTTAGCACAAAAATTGGTAACATATTAATAAACTTAATGTAGATGAAGAAAAAATTAAATTGTTTTAAAAGAACAAAATTCTACACAGTAATAAAGAAATCACTGAAATGGGCAGTTATACAGGAGGAAGACTAAGATATTGAATAATATTGTAGATGCTACAGTTCTACTTTTTTAGTTGTTGTTAGGTGCAATCGAGTTGCTGTGACTCATAGCTACCATATGTACAACAGAATGAAACACTGCCCGGTCCTATGCCACCATCACAATCGTTGTTATGCTGTGGCCCATTGTTGCAGTGACTGTGTCAATCCATCTTGTGGAGGGTCTTCTGTCGCTACCCTCCACTTTACCAAGCATGAAGTCTGATAACTGATCCCTTCTGATAACACATCCAAAGTATGTGAGACACAGTCTTGCCATCCTTGTTTCTAAGGAACATGCTGGTTGTACTTCTTCCAAGACAGATTTGTTTGCTCTTTTGGCAGTCCACGTTACATTCAATTTTCTTTGCCAACACCATAATCATAGGTGTCAGTTCTTCAGTCTTCCTTATTCATTGTCCAGTTTTCACATGCATATGAGGCGACTAAAGACACCATGGCTTGGCTCAGGTGCACCTTAGTCTTAAAGGTAGTATCTTTACGTTTCAACACTTTAAAGAGGTCTTTTGCATCAGATTTGCCCAATGCATTGCATCATTTGATTTCTTGACTGCTGCCTTCATGGGTGTTGATTGTGGATCTAAGTAAAATGAAATCCTTGACAACTTCAATCTTTTCTCTGTTTATCATGATGTTGCTTATTCAGTGTGAGGATATTGGTTTTCCTTATGTTGAGGTGTAATCCATACAGAAAGCTGTAGTCTTTGATCTTCATCAGTTAAGTGCTTCAAGTTCACTTCACTTTCAGCAAGCAAGGTTGTGTCATCCGGGTATCACAGGTTAATGAGTCTTCCCAATCTTGATGCCCCATTTTTCTAGCTTCTCAGATTATTTGCTCAGCATAAAGACTGAATAAGTATGGTGAAAGGATTCAACCTTGATGCACACCTTTCCTGACTTTAAACCATGCAGTATCCCCTTGTTCTGTTTGAACGACTGCCTCTTGATCTACATACAGTTTCCTCATAAGCACAATTAAGTGTTCTGGAATTCCCATTCTTTGCAATGTTATCCATAATTAGTTATAATCCACACAGTTGAATGCCTTTGCACAGTCCATAAAACACAGGTAAACATCTTTCTGGTATTCTGTGCTTTTAGCCAGGATCCATCTGACATCAGCAATGATATTCCTAGTTCCATGTCCTCTTCTGAATCTGGCTTGAACTTCTGGCAGTTCCCTGTCAATACACTGCTGCAGCCTCTTTTGAATGATCTTCAGCAAAATTTTACTTGTGTGTGATGTTAATGGTATTGTTTGATAATTAAATTTTTTTCAATAATTTAAAGCTTCCAAATCAGCAATACAGAAAATTTACCAATCCAGAAGACTTAAAAAAAAAAAAAAACGGAGGTTACATAAATATCTTAATTTAAAAAATTACATTAAAATTAGGTAATTATTAAAAATATTCTTTAAGAATAGGTAACCAGAAAATGTCTTACTATACAGTAAGTGAAAATTCAGGAGATAGGGTTGTATTACATACCGTAACTCAAATACTGTGGTAAAGAACCATGGATGTGTTTGAATAGAAGAAAATAAAGATATATTTTAAAATGTTACCAGTGGTACACTGCAGGTGGTATGGCTACTGGTGATTTTAACAATCTTCTTGATCTTCTTCTGGATTTTTAAACTTCTTTACAACAAAGGAAGTAATTTTTATAACCAAGAAAAGAAGTTCCTCCTATTAAGACAACATTTACCTTAATAGTTCCAAGAGCCATTGGATTTTTGACAATATATAGTAGTTATGGAGTCCCAAAGCATTAACATCAACAGGATTATAAAAGGGCCATGCATATGATAAGTGTTTCTTTGCAAGCATTTCTTTAAGAATCTCACTACAGTGCTTTAATTGTTTGGTTACTTTAACATTCTTTACAACTTTATATTGTTGCTGAGAATCTGGCAAAACATTCTTTAGCATATTTTCTTTTATAAGTGGAATTTTCACCGATTTGTTTTCTGTAAATGTTGGGAGAGAGTCACTACTTGCTTTAACTACTGAAGTTACAGGAGTTGTTGTATCTGCTTTCCTCTTCACACCTCTTGTAACCTAAAACAAAGGAATTCAACAACAACAAAAACTATATTTAAAGTAACATTTAGAGCAACACTTTCTAATCTTTTTTTGATCATTACCTTATCGGTTTAAAAAAAAAGGAAAGGATTACCTGTACCAAGTCAATATATAGATAAATTATACATACTGTTGTCAATCCACATATTAAATATCAACCAAAAAAACAAATCCGCTGCCATCGAGTTGATTCCGACTCATAGGGACACTATGGGACAGAGTAGAACTCCCCCATAGGGTTTCTAAGGCTGTAATCTTTACAGAAGAAAGACTGCCACATCTTTCACCTGTGGAGTGGCTGGTGGGTTTGAACCACCAATCTTCCAGTTAGCAACCAAGTGCTTAACCACAGTGCCACCAGGGCTAATTTCCCCTTTTATAGGTAAAATAACTGACCTCATCTGTCAGTTTGCTGTACTGTGGTGGTTTGTGTGTTGCTGTTATGCTGGAAGTTTATGCCACCAGTATTCTGAATACCCATGGTAGACAGGTTTCAGTGGAGCTTCAGACTAAGACAGACTAGGAAGAAGGACCTGGTGGTCTACTTCTGAAAAAAATGGCCAGTGGAACCTTTTCTGATATAGTGCTGGAAAATGGGCCCCTCAGGTTGGAAAGCACTCAAAATATGACTGGGGAAGAGCTGCCTCCTCAAAGCAGAGTTGACCTTAATGATGTGGATAAAGTAAAGCTTTTGGTACCTTCATTTGCTGATGTGGCACGTTACTAAAACGAGAAGAAACAGCTGCAAACATCCATTAATAATCGGAACATGGAATGTATGAAGTATGAATCTAGGAAAATTGGAAGTCATCAAAAATGAAATGTAACGCAAAAATGAAATGTAATGCATAAAGATCGATATCCAAGGCATTAGTGAGCTGAAATAAGACTGGTATTGGCCATTTTGAATCACATTCATATGGTCTACTATGTCAGGAATGACAAATTGAAGAGGAATGACAACACATTCATCGTCAAAAAGAACGTTTCAAGATCTATTCTGAAGTACAATGCAGTCAGTGATAGTTAATACGACTGTTACTCAAATTTAGGCACCAACCACTAAGGCCAAAGATGAAGAAATTGAAGATTTTTACCAACTTCTGCAGTCTGAAATTGACCAAACATGTAATCAAGATACACTGATAATTACAGGTGACTGGAATGCGAAAGCTGGAAACAAAGAAGGATTGGTAGCTGGAAAATATGGTCTTGGTGACAGAAACAACCCTGGACATTGCATGATACAATTTTGCAAGACAAACGACTTCTTCACTGCAAATACCTTTTTTTAACAATGTAAATGGTGAATATACACATTGACCTTGCCAGATGGAATACACAGGAATCAAATTGACTACACTTGTGGAAAGAGATGATGGAGAAGCTCAATATTATCAGTCAGAACAAGGCCAGGGGCTGACTGTGGAACATACCATTAATTGCTCATATACAAGTTCAAGCTGAAACTGAAGAAAATTACAGCAAGTCCATGAAAGCCAAAATATGACCTTGAGTATATCCCACCTGAATTTAGGGACTATCTCAAGAATAGATTTGATGCATTGAAGACTAATGACCAAAGACTAGATGAGTTATGGAATGACATCAAGGACATCATACATGAACAAAGCAAGAGGTCATTAAAAAGATAAGGAAGAAAGAAAAGACCAAATTTTATGTCAGAAGAGACTCTGAAACTAATCTCTGAACATCACGTAGCTAAAGTGAACAGAAGATATGATGATGTAAAAGGGCTGTACAGAAGATTTCAAAGGGCAGCTCAAGAAGACAAAGTAAAGTATTATAATGAAATGTACAAAGACCTGGAGTTAGAAAACCAAAAGAGAAGAACACACTTGGCATTTCTCAAGCCAAAAGAACTGAAGAGAAAATTCAAGCCTTGAGTTGCAAAATTGAAGGATTCCATGGGGAAAATATTGAACGACACGAGAAGCATCAAAAGAAGATGGAAGGAGTATACAAAATCACTATACCAAAATGAACTGGTCGATGTTCAACCATTTCAGGAGGCAGGAAATGATCAAGAACAGATGATAATGAAGGAAGAAGTCCAAGCTGCACTGAAGGCACTGGTGACAAACAAGGCTCCAAGAATTGATGGAATACCAATTGAGATGTTTCCATAAAAGGATGTAATGCTGGAGGTGCTCATTCATCTATGCTAAGAAATTAGGAAGACAGATACCTGGCCAACTGACTGGAAGAGATCATATTTGTGCCCACTCCAAAGAAAGGTGATCCAACAAAATGTGGAAATTATCAAACAATATCATTAATATCATACACAAGTAAAATTTTACTCAAGATCATTCAAAAGAGGTTGCAGCAGTACACTAACAAGGAACTGCCAGAAATGCTAGCTGGATTCAGAAGAGGACATGGAACGAGGGTGTCTTAGGCTGGATTCTCTAGAGAAGCATATAAATATATATATAGAGAGAGATTTATATCAAGGAAATAGCTCACAAGGTTATAGAGGCTGGAATGTTCCAAGTCCGGGGGTCAGGATAGAGGCTTCTCCTGATTCACGTAGCCACAGGGGCTGGCAAACCCAAGATTGGCAGGTCAGAGAGCAGGGCTCTTGCTCGCAGGCAGGGAAGATTGATGAATCCCAAGATCGGCAGGCAAGACTGCAGTAAGCTGCCAGGTAAAGTCCCCAAGAACCAGAGGTCAGATGAACACAAGTCAGTTGCAGGATCCAGCACGAGCAAAAAAGCCCCCAAGCCTTGCCAGAATGTTGCTTATATTCAATGCAGGCCACACGCCCAAGGAAACTCCCTTTCAAGTGACTGGCTACTCACAGCAGATTCCATCATGGGGGTGATCACATATCGGATCTCAACAGGGAGGTGATCACAACATTATACGACTGCCAAAACACCGAGAATTATGGCCCAGCCAAGTTGACACAAACTTATCCATCACAGAGAGATATCACTGCTGATGTTAGACAGATCTTGGCTAAAAGCGGAGACTACCAGAAAGATGTTTACTTGTGTTTTATCGACTATGCGAAGTCATTCGACTATGTGGATCATAACGAATTATGGATAACATTGTGAAGAATGGGAATTCCAGAACACTTACATGTGCTCATTAGGAACCTGTACACAGATCAAGAGGCAGTCGTTCAAAAAGAACAAGGGTATACCACGTAGTTTAAAGTCAGGAAAGGTATGGGTCAGGGTTGTACCCTTTCACCATACTTATTCAAACTCAATGCAAAGCAAATCCGAGAAGCTGGACCATATGAAGAAGAATGCGGCATCAGGATTGGAGGTAGACTCATTAACAACCTGTGATATGCAGATGACACAACCTTGCTTGCTGAAAGCAAAGAAGACTTGAAAAGAAGATCAAAGACTACAGCCTTCAGTATGGATTACACCTCAACATAAAGAAAAGAAAAATCCTCACAACTGGACAAATAAGCAACATCATGAAAAATGGAGAAAAGACTGAAGTTGTCAAGGATTTCATTTTACTTAGATCCACAATCAACACCCGTGGAAGCAGCAGTCAAGTAATCAAATGACGTATTGCACTGGGCAAATCTGCTGCAAAAGACCTCTTTACAGTGTTAAAAAGCAAAAATGTCACTTTGAGGACTAAGGTGTACCTGACCCAAGCCATGGTATTTTCAATTGCCTCATATGCATGTGAAAGCTGGACAATGAATAAGAAGACCGAAAAATAATTGATGTCTATGAATCATGGTGTTGGCAAAGAATATTGAATATGCCATGGACTGCCAAAAGAACGAACAAATCTATCTGGAAGAAGTACAGCCAGAATGTTCCTTAGAGGCAAGGAATGTGAGACTTCGTCTCATGTACTCTGGACATGTTATCAGGAGGAACCAGTCCCTGGAGGACATTATGCACTCCGAATCCACCAGCCGCTCCCTGGAAATCCTATAGGGCAGTTCTACTCTGTCCTATAGGGTCATTACAGGGTCACTATGAGTTGGAATTGACTTGACAGCAATGAGTTTGGTTTGGTTTGGTTTACTATCTAGTGAGTGATTCTCTCTTCCTCCTCGTCCCATCCCTGGTTAACCATGAAAGAACATTGCTTTCTGTGTGCAAACGTAATCTTGACTTTTTATAAAAGTGGTATTATACAATATTTGTCCTTTTGTGATTGATTTATTTCCCTCAGCATAATGTCCTCCAGATTCATCCATGTTATGTTTCACAGACTCATCATTATTCTTTATCATTGTGTATTTCACTTTATGTATGTACCACACATTTTGTTTATCCATTCATCCGTTGGTGGTAAGGTATAGAATTTTGACAAGAAAACTATGTAGTTTGACAAATTCTGACATTAATACAGAAAGATGTTAAAATAGTTCAAATTCAACCTAAGAAATCTCTACTCCTGTGTCACTTGGTAAAGTGGAGGGTCAGTGAAAAAGAGGAAGACTCTCAGTGAGATGGACTGACACAGTGGCTGCAACAATGGGCTCAAGCATAAATAACAATGATTGTAAAGATGGCGCAGGACCGGGCAGTGTTTCATTCTGTTGTACACAGGGTCACTATGAGTTGGAACCAACTCAGTGGCACCCAACAACATTTTCTTCCCATACCCAAAAGAACTGTCTTGTAAAAACCCTTGAGACCAATGAAATATAGGGGAAAATGTCATGATTATGCTAAAACAAGTTTCTGAATATCTGAAATCAACTAGGGTATAGAATTTTTTTGGGAGATGGGGACTGTTTAATATGGTTTTTTTTTTTAAAACATTTTACTGTGTTTTAGGTGAAAGTTTACACAGTAAATTAATTTCCTATTCAATAATTTATATGCAGTTTGTTCCATGACATCGGTTGCTATCCCCACAATGTGTCAGCACTCTCCTCATTTCCATCCTGCCTTCCCCATTTCCATCCCCCCAGTTTCCCTGCCTCTCCTTGCCTTCTCATCTTTGCTTCCGGGCAAATGTTGCCCATTTATACAGTTGCTTGTTCTAAGGAGTACATTCCTCACAGGTGTCATTATTTTACAGGCCAAACTATTATTTGGCTGAAAGGTAACCTCCAGGAATGGCTTTAGTTCCAGGTTAAAAGGATGTCTTATGGCAATGGTCTCAGGAGTTCCTTCAGTCTCTATCAGTCTAGTAAGTCTGGCCTTTTTTATGAATCTGTGTTTTGTTTTACATTTTCCTCCCATTCTAACTGGAATCTTCTATTGTGTCTGTGGTCAGAGTAGTAGGTAGTGGTAGCTGGGCACTATCTAGATCTTCTGGTCTGAGGCTAGAGGAGCCTGTGGTTCATGTGGGCATTAGTCCTGTGGACTAATTGCTTCCTTGAGTCTTTGGTTTCCTTCACTTTCCTTTGCTCCAGGCAGGAAGAGACCAATAGCTGTATCTTAGACGGCTGCTCGCAAGTTTTTAAGACCCAAGACACTGCTAACCTAACTAGGATGTAGAACATTATCTTTATGAACTATGTTATGCCAACTGACCTAGGTGTCCCCCAAGACTATCGTCCTTAGCTTTCAAGCCCAGTAACTCAGTCCCATGGGGTGTTTGGATATGTCTAAGAAGTTTCCATAACCGTGCCCCCTATGTGCTATATTACATATATGAATAAATACACAGCACATACAAATATGTATATACAAATGCCCACCACTATACCTACATATGCATAAGCATTCACTCCCACACGCCCTCCCTCACCTATATAGCATACATATCTACCTACATAACCACTTACAGATTTTTGGTTATTACTGTTGTTTCAGAGTTGTATACATTATAGCATTTAGTGTAGTTGTCCATCATTCCTGGGTACCTCTTAGTGTCTTCATTTTCCTTGGTCACATTGTGCTGACTTCTCCTGTACTGTGCATTGCCTTTCCCTTCAGCAGAATTAACACGTGTGTACTTTGTTTCCAGCTATCTAGTGGGAGCCCTGCTGGTGCAGTAGTTAAGCATTCAGCTCCTAATCAAAAGGCTGGCAGTTTGAATCCACCAGCTGCTCCTTGGAAATCCTATGGGGCAGTTCTACCCTGTACTATAAGGTCATTACAGGGTCACTATGAGTCAGAATCGACTTAACAGCAATGAGTTTGGTTTAGTTTGGTTACTGTCTAGTGAGTGATTCTCTCTTCCTCCCCGTCCCATCCCTGGTAACCATTGCTTTCTGTATGTAAATCTAATCTTGACTTTTTATAAAAGTGGTATTATACAATATTTGTCCTTTTGTGATTGATTGATTTCACTCAGCATAATGTCCACCAGATTCATCCATGTTATGCTTTGTCGACTCATCATTATTCCTTATCATTGCCTAGTATTTCATTGTATGTATGTACCACATGTTTTGTTCATCCATTCATCCATCGGTGGTAGGGTATAGAATTTTAATAAGAAAACTATGTAGTTTGACAACTTCTGATATTAATACAGAAAGATGTTAAAATAGTTCAAATTTTACCTAAGAAATCTCTAATCCTGTGTCACTGTTTATAAAATGTATAGATATAATTTGACATAAATAACGTGACAAAAAGATTGCTGTATGCTGAAGACCAATTTTCAAATCAACTTGAAATGAGTTATAGATAGCACAACATACAAACTTATATTGAAATATTCAGGAACCAGTGATTTTAAAACTATAATAAACTTACTTGGGCAATTGTCTGTGAGGTAGAGTTGAGCTGAGCTCCTTGTGTCATATTTAAGGGCGAAATAGATGTCTCAGGCAATGCAGAGGGAATCATTTGCTGCTTAAATACTTTTTCTGGTGCTTTGGGGTATGGTTTTTCTTTAACAGAAGAAACTATCACATTCTGCTGTGTGCCTAGTAAAGTTTGAATCAGAGTTAAATATTTGAGAGAGTAAAACATAAAGCTAACATCATTTTCTCTCTTATTCTATTTTAATTCGTTTAGTACAGCTTTTTAGCAATCTAAACACAGTAGACTTCCATTCCTCTTTGACACTCTCCACACTGCTGCTCAGTATTGGACCAATCTACATATAGTATTGGAGATCTCAAAATCTGTTATTAATGGTAGCCTCATCAATTTTATTCAAAAAGGCACCTGGCTTAAACCCATACCAAGTTTGATGGTTAGCATCAGGTACCTGCTGACCCAAGCAAACATTTCAGACACCGTGGAGACAAATTATATGGTATTATGTGAGGTCTTCAGAGTGCTCTGCATAAATATCCATGGACTTCAAAACGGTTATAGATCATCCATCACTGGCTGACACAGAACAACAGATGTGAACATGATTCTGTTATCAATATGTCCCTCAGACAAGTCTGTCAAAGGAACAATTATGCATTTTCTCCTCTGTATTTTCTCAGAGAATGCCATGACTTGAGACATTTGGATCACAGCACTCTAAAATCTTCTATTACATCAAAACTCCTAGTCAGATTCCAACCTTCTATCAAGGCATTCCATTTTTCTAATTGCTCAGACCAGATACCTCAGAGTCATCTTTGACTCCACTCTCTCTCGAACCAATTATACAATCCACCAGCAAACCCTGTTTGCTGTCTTCTGGTGGTGTAGTAAGGCTAGAACCTATAGTGAAGTCAGCTCATGAGTGTATAAGAGAAACACACACAAACACACACATAGATATGATGAATATAAACTGTTTATATTCTGGCTTACCTTTCTTCATTCTTTCCTTACCACCCACAACTTGTTCTTCCTGTGGCATCTGAGATAATTTCTGCACAAACAACTTCTCTAGAGCTTGTGCCATTAAAACAATGTCATCTCCAGGCTAGAAAATACATTAAATATACCATAAGGTTATACTGTATAGTCACTGTATCAAATTTATATAATTAAGGCTGCCCCAGAGGAGTGATATGGTATCCTAGACAATATTTATCTCATAAAAACTAAGTCTAGAAAATAGTGAAGCAGCTCACATTTTAAATTCTAGCATCCTACCCCTTCAATGTCTAAAAAGGATCCAATACGTCTATTTGAGCCCTAGAAGATTATAATCCAATCAATCCTAATAATTAAGAAAAAGTATTAGAATTTAGAATATCTACCTCATAAATAGGTTAAAAGAAAACTTTTTCATGGCCATGAAAGTACTTTATAGTTCAACTAGAAGTGATTCAGTTTTCAATTCTAACTATCTGCTTAGAAGTCTTCCTCTTGGTTTACCTTACCACTGAGAAAAAACTAAGTAAATTACAAAGTAATAGCCTAAAGCAGAGAACGTATTTCTAGACTAGGTAGTTCAGGGAAATTACTCTTCATTTTAAGATATTAAATATGAAAGAACTATTTGAAACTGTTAAAACATAGTTGCGAATGGTACTTTGAGATTACCTTTCTTCTGATTTTTTAAAAATTCACATTGGCTAATGTCTTAAATCTTTTATACATATAAGGTAGCATTGGGAACCAAGCCAAAATTTCTATTACATTTCAGCAAGAATTCCCATGTCACTAGTGATTTTTAAATAACTCACCTGGCAAATACTTGGATTTCTCATATTTAAATGGATGATGATAGTGTAATTCTCTAAATGGGGTATGAGCTTTAAAATTTTTAGATACCATAGAACAGCCTGAAAAGGATACAAGTACTCTGGGAAATAGGAATACAATATGGGGAAAAAATAAAGATACAAATATAATTTTATAGATGAGAGCAAATGTGAAGAACAAGTTCAGAATGTCCACGTGCATTATCATACAGGGTAATGGATTAACATGAATGCAAGTAGTATCACCAGGATGTAACAAAGAATGTGTCTGATCTTCAAATCATCTTATCGTGAAGTTTAAAAAAAAAAAAAAAAAAAACAGTTGCCGTCAAGTCGATTCAGACTCATGGCAACCCCATGTGGCAGAGGAAAGCTTTATTTGTTTGATTTCTTAGGTTATGGTCAGGGATCCATATCATGAAAATTTAGCTAAGATTAGCGTATAGAAAAGTTTTCATTCACCTTACAACTAAAGTGTCAGAAATATGGTAGAGGACATTTAAAAGTAATGCTTTACTCACAGAAACCAGCTATCATTTGGTATTCCCTTTTCTAAAACAAGTAAGCCATTACAGCTCCTGAGGCAGAAATGTCACAGCAAATAGATTATGTGAATTTTAATATGTGAAAATGACAAAATCCAGTGCAAAAGATATTCTCCTAAAAATATATAAAACAACTCAAATCAAGACTTAAAATCTGAAATCACCACACCTGTTTATACATATTTCCTGTGTGTAATAGCAAAGAATTAGTAAGTAAAACATAAAGTTTATATACCTTGTTATACAAATAACAATTTGAGAACATTGTATTGAAGTCGTCTATGCATTCCGAAGCTTTCACATAATATTTATGCTCCAAGCGCCTCTTAATTGTATTTAAATCCATTGGATTTTTTATAATGGTATAATAATCCTATGGTTTTGAAGAAGAAATTCTAAATGTTAGTAACAAAAATGATTCGCACAACTATTGGTACACAAAGAAATTTAAGAAACTATACAACTGTAGGAGCTCTGGTGGCACAGTAGTTAAGAGCTATAGCTGCTAACCAAAAAAAGATCAGCAGTTTGAATCTACCAGCTGCTCCTTGGAAACTATATGGGGCAGTTCTACTCTGTTCTATAGGGTCCCTATGAGTCAGAATTGACTTGATGGCAATGAGTTTGGTTTCTTGGTTTTATACACCTGTAACTCCAAAGAGCAAGTGATTACCTTTAAAAAGTCATATTCTGGAAACCAAAACTTTTAGTAATGAGAAATAAAGCTGACTGCCACGGAAGTACTTTTCAGATTAATAATTACTTTTCAAATAAATAATAAAAAAGATAAGAATTTAAGAGTAGAACTATAATGGAAAATAAAAAGTGAAGGGCATGAGAAAAAAACTAGTATTTATAGAATCTCTCTGACAGATCCAAAGTCCAATCCCAGCTCCACAGTTTACTAGATATATTACAAATTATTTACCATTCTATGTAAGAATTGGTATTATCAGATTATTATTTGGTTAAAAATTCCTAACATAAGACCCAATGCTGAATTCTGCGTGTTAGACAACTACATCTGCCTGGTAGTGTCAGGAGAGACTTGATAGAGAAGGTAACATATGAGCCTGATATCATCTGGGTAAGCAGATATTTGTCAGACTAAGTAATGGTGGTAAGGAGTGCTGCAGGCAGAAGAAAAAACATGAAAAAGGGACGGCCTGTTTGGAAAGCAGTAAAAGTTCCTTGTGTCTAGAGCACAGGGTCACTCATGGATGGAGATGAAAGAAGTATTTCAGTTGTGAAGGCCCTTGTGTGGCTTTTTAAGAAGTCTGGACTTAGAACTCTAGGCTGTGAAGAGGAGATAGTCTTTAAACAAGTACTGTGAGGGTGAAGATAGTGTCTTTCCTTAGCTTACTGGCTCTGAGGAGTTTGTCATATAAATGAGTAATCATAATACAATAAATTAACCACTAAAACAGAGATCCATACAAAGTGTGGTGGAAATGCATAGGAGAGGGAGAACTTACATCAACTTTAGGTATCAGTATTTAGTTTGGGTAATTTAGAGGTTGTAACTTAATAGAGTGGCAGGGTAGAAAAGCCTGGCATATAGTTAACACTCAAATATATTTTTAAAAAATGAGTTGTATTATATTGGCCTTTTAAGAACTTTTATGGACTGAAGTGTGCCTGACCCAAGCCATGGTGTTCTCAATCGCCTTGCATGCATGTAAAAGCTGGGCAATGAATAAGGAAGACCAAAGAATTGATGCCTTTGAATTACGGCATTGGCGAAGAATACTGAATATACCATGGACTGTCAGAAGGACAAACAAGTCTGTCTTGGAAGAAGTACAGCCAGAGTTCTCCTTGGAAGCAAGGATGGCGAGACTTGGTCTCACACACTTTGGACATGTTATCAGGAGGGACCTGGAGAAGGACATTATGCAAAAAAGAGGAAGACCCTCAAGGAGATGTATTGACACAGTGGCTGCAACAATGGGCTCAAGCTTAACAACTGTGAGGATGGTGCAGGACCAGGCAGTGTTTCATTCTGTTGTACATAGGGTCGCTACGAGCTGGAACCAACTCGATGGCACTTAACAACAACAACATTATACTGGCCACTTTGAATTTTGAGAGATTCTGAGGCTTCAAGTTTAATTTGTCTAAATTGCTAGTCATTTTGTCTAGTTTCATTTAAAGCTGGTATAGTTACATTCTCTTTAATCTGTCCTAAACTTATTAAAGTACAATGAGTGAATTCTAGCTCTGCTACCTACAAGATGACTTTGGGCAGGTTACTTAACTTCTCTGTTTTGGTCTTCCCAACTACAGAATGAGGAAGAATAATAGTATCTATACCAAGGAATCATTGTAAGGATTAAATGAACAATGCTCAAGATATGTTAGCTATTCTTATGGGAACCATACAATTATGTGGCAAGATTAATTTCAGTTCAGAAATGCTAGGTTATTTATATTTACCCTAAGACAGTAAAGCCCATTAAACTTCTACATCTTAATCTAAAGAACAGATAAAAAACTGCACTCAGGCCAGAACTGTAAATAATGCTTTAGTGATGTCAACTACTAATTCAACAAATAAAAACTAAGTTACCAGTCAGTTTTCCTGACAGTCTTCTAGTTATCCTAGTTATAACAATATGAAATTAGAAGTGGTAGTATGTAGAAGGAAAGTGTAATTTGGGAAGGTTTGCTAAAAGCAGAAACAATGTCAATAGTTAGAAATGACAGTTAGAACACAGATGTAGACACATGAATTATCTATGATAAAATACTATAAACAGTCTAATAGCTCAATAATCACTGAAGGCATTCATGATGATTACCCTGAGTCAAGACAACTGACATATGCTATAACCAGAAAGTGTATGCATATATATACATACATTCACACACACACTATTTTTACGCAAATGATGCACATGTCCTATGTTTGTTTGCCCATTGCACCCTCCCACTGCGGGGTATTTTCTTAAACATGCTATGCCAATTGTTTTGTAGAACGTGTGCATTATTTGTGTAAAAATACAGGATAACAATTATCACAAACTATTAAAATAAGAATTTCAATGCTCAGAAAAACAAACTTTGTTGTTAATTAGGAAAAAACACTCATTGGGGGATACTCTTTGACAGTGCTGAATAAATCAGGTGTTTATTAAATTAAACGTATTTTACACTATTAAAGACTATTTCTTGTATTGATTCACAGGGGTCTTCTTTTTTAAACTAACATAATTATAAGACACACTTACAGGCAACTTTAGTTTCACGGCATCCACAGGCTGCTGAAAGGGCCAAGAAAAGCTATGTTTCCATAAAGCCTTCAGGACAACTTTTTGTAGATACTGCAGTTGATTTGTCAATCGTCCATTTTTCTTAGCATTTATATACTCTGGTGGAGGTGGGTTAACAATAGCTGTTTGTCGACTTGGCAGAGACATTCTTAACTGCTTCAAATACTGATGTTTTAATGTTGTCTACAAATACATGTCCTGAAAAGAAAAATCTGTTGTAAGACTGAGTTATGTCAGAAGTACTTTAAAAATGGTTTCTATAAAAGCAGAAAACTACAGTATTATTAAAAAGTAATAGCTATGGTATTTAAAGCATATCATGATTAAGATGGAAAAAAAAGTCAAAGGACAAAAATGAATCAATTTTAACAAAACCTTTTCGTATACAAGTACTTAAAGTTTCATTACGTATGCCTTAGTTTTGGATGGTTTAAGTTATTTCAATCTTTCACAGTATTTCTTTCTCCCTTTCTAAAACAAACACAAATTGAGGTCTTATCAGGAAAAGTCTGTAAGTTCCTGGCCAAAAAAACAAATAACAGAGAATGTTAAAGATAGTATTAGGATATAGGTGTTCTAAAGTTGAATAATTCAATGAAGGGAGAAAGTCAAAGCAAAGGAATTTTCTGGCTAATTAAAGTGATTTATTTTAAAACTTAATTATTAGAAAGAAAAATGCCAAGTGTTAAAATGCTACTCTTTGGTGCATATTGCTACATGTAAAATAAAATACTTTAAAACTTCAGGGGTATTTCAGAAAGATAGCATTTAATATCTCTAGAAAGTATTACTTACTATAATGATAAAGAGCAAAGGTACTACCAGCATACATACAATTGCTCAATTATACTAGCAAAATGAAAAGTATAATTATCAAATAAGTTTTTCATTTTTAGAGACTGATGTTATACTTAACCAGTATATCTTTCTTTGCATTAAAGCAGTGCTAGTCTCAGCTTTGGTTGCACATTTATCTCTTGTGGATCTTTTGAAAAATATCAACGCCCAGGCCTCAATTTCTGGAGATAGGGCCTGGGAATCAGTTTTTGTTTGTTTTTTAAAGTCCCCAGATGCTTCTGATGTATAGCCAGAATTAAGAACACTACATTAAAATGAATTAACTTGGAGGTGATTACCAATCTTATAATCTATTTCATCTCATGATTTTATTCCTCTCTTCTATATGTATGTGTGTGTGTGTATTTCTTTAATATACCAGCTTCACCAGTCGCCGTCGAGTCAGTTCTGACTTATGGTGACCCCAAGTGTTGCAGAATAGAACTGCACTCCATTGGGTTTTCAAGTGTGTAACCTTTCAGAAGTTATCACCAGGCCTTTCTTTCAAGGTACCTCTTGGTGGGTTCGGACCACCAACTGGTTAGTAGCATTTCCCATATATATAAAACTCTTAATAAAAGTTGTTGAGAACAAACATGAGATATTCTTCTAGGGTGTTACAACTAAAACTGACTCATATCCTGACTTTGTAATTATTTAAAGCTAGCCTACTTCTTTCTGGCCGTCCAAAACACTACACCCATTCTCTTCCACAAAGGTAAGCAGTAAACACTATGCTAACTTCTATCACACTAAGTTGTAATTGTTTTTGAACTTTATATAAATATAGTATGTATTTATTATGTACTACATTGTGTCTGACTTCTTTTGCTCAACATTGTTTACAAGATTTAACCATGTTATTGCCTATGGCTGTAGTTTGCCCATTTTCATTGCTGTATGGTATTCTATAGACTAAGACAAACTAGGAAGAAGGACTTTACTTCTGAAAAGAATTAGCCAGTGAAAACATTATGAATAGAAGTGGAATACTGTCTGATATAGTGCCGGAAGATGAACCCCAAAGGTTGGAAGGCACTCAAAAGACGACTGGGCAACAGCTGCCTCCTCAAAGTAGAGTTGACCTTAATGACGTGCATGGTGCCAAGCTTTCGGAAGCTTCATTTACTGATGTGGCATGACTCAAAATGAGAAGAAACAGCTGCAAACATCCATTAAAAACTGAAATGTGGAATGTACGAAGTATGAATCTAGGAAAACGAAATCGTCAAAAATGAAATGGAAAGCATAAACATCAACATCCTAGGCATTAGTGAGCTGAAATGGACTGGTATTGGCCATCTTGAATTGGACAATCATATGGTCTACTATGCCAGGAATGTAAACTTGACGAAGAATGGCGTTGCATTCATCGTCAAAAAGAACGTTTCAAGATCTATCCTGAAGTACAACGCTGACAGTGATAGGATAATATCCATACGCTTACAAGGAAGACCAGTTAATGCAACTATTATTCAAATATACGCACCAACCACGAAGGCCAAAGATGAAGAAACTGAAGATTTTTACCAGCTTCTGCAGTCAGAAATTGATTGGACATGCAATCAGGATGCACTGATAATTACTGGTGACTGGAATGTGAAAGTTGGAAACAAAGAAAAAGGATCAGTAGTTGGAAAATATGGTCTTGGTGACAGAAACGATGCTGGAGATAACATGACAGAATTTTACAAGACCAATGACTTCTTCATTGCAAATACATTTTTTCACCAACATAAACGGCAACTATACACACGGACCTCGCCAGACGGAATACACTGGAATCAAACTGACTACACTTGTGGAAAGAGATGATGGAAAAGCTCAATATCATCAGTGAGACGAAGGCCAGAGGCCGACTGCAGAACAGATCATCAATTGCTTACATGCAAGTTCAGGCTGAAACTGAAGAAAATTAGAACAAGTCCATAAGAGCCAAAGTATGACCTTGAGTATATTCCACCTGAATTTAGAGACCATCTCACAAAGAGATTTGATACGCTGAACACTAATGACCAAAAAATAGAAAAGCTGTGGAAGGACATCATATATAAAGAAAGCAAGAGGTCATTAAAAAGACAGGAAAGAAAGAAAAGGCCAAAATGGATGTCAGAAGAGACTCTGAAACTTGCTCTTGAACGTCGAGTAGCTAAGGAAAAGGAAGAAAGGATGAAGTAAAAGAACTGAACAGAAGATTTCAAAGGGCGGCTCGAGAAGACAAAGTATTATAATGACGTGTGCAAAGAGCTAGAGATAGAAAACAAAAGGGAAGAACATGATGGGCATTCTTCAAGCTGAAAGAACTGAAGAAAGAATTCAAGCCTCGAGTTGCAATAGGGAAGGATTCTATGGGGAAAATATTAAACGACGCAGGAAGCATCAAAAGAAGATGGAAGGAATACACAGAGTCATTATACCAAAAAGAACTGGTCGACGTTCAGTCATTTCAAGAGGTAGCATAGGATCAGGGACTGATGGTACTGAAGGAAGAAGTCCAAGCTGCACTGAAGGCACTGGAGAAAAACAAGGCTCCAGGAATTAATGGAATATCAACTGAGATGTTTCAACAAACGGATGCAGCGCTGGAAGTGCTCACTCATCTATGCCAAGAAATTTGGAAGAGAGCTACCTGGCCAACTGACTGGAAGAGATCCATATTTATACCTATTCCAAACAAAGGTGATCCAACCAAATACAGAAATTATCAAACAATATCATTAATATCACATGCAAATAAAATTTTGCTAAAGATCATTCAAAAGCAGCTACGGTAGTATGTCGACAGGGAACTGCCAGAAATTCAGGCCAGATTCAGAAGAGGATGTGGAACCAGGGATATCATTGCTGATATCAGATAGATCCTGGCTGAAAGCAGAGAATACCAGAAAGATGTTTACCTGTGTTTTATTGACTGTGCTAAGGCATTCGACTGTGTGGAACATAACAAATTATGGATAACGTTGTGAAGAATGGGAATTCCAGAACACTTAATTGTGCCCATGAGCAACCTGTACATAGATCAAGAGGCAGTTGTTTGGACAGAACAAGGGGATATTTCGTGGTTTAAAGTCAGGAAAGGTGTGCGTCAGGGTTGAATCCTTTCACCATACCTATTCAATCTGTATGCTGAGCAAATAATCTGAGAAACTGGACTATATGAAGAACAGGCCATCAGGACTGGAGGAAGACTCATTAACAACCTGCGTTATGCAGATGACACAACCCTGCTTTCTGAAAGTGAAGAGGACTTGAAGTACTTACTGGTGAAGATCAAAGACCACAGCTTCAGTATGGATTACACCTCAACACAAAGAAAACAAAAATCCTCACAACTGGACCAATAAGCAACATCATGATAAATGCAAAAAAGACTGAAGTTGTCAAGGATTTCATTTTACTTGGATCCACAATCAACACCCATGGAAGCAGCAGTCAAGAAATCAAAGGATGCATTGTACTGGGCAAATCTGCTGCAAAACACCTCTTTAAAGTGTTGAAAAGCAAAGATGTCACCTTGAAGACTAAGGTGCACCTGACCCAAGCCATGGTATTTTCAATCGCATCATATGCATGCGAAAGCTGGACAATGAATAAGGAAGAACGAAGAAGAATCGATGCCTTTGAACTGTAGTGTTGGCAAAGAATATTGAATATACCATGGACTGCCAAAAGAATGAACAAATCTGTCTTGGAAGAAGTACAATCAGAATGCTCCTTAGAAAGAAAGATGGTGAGACTACATGTTACATACTTTGGACATGTTGTCAGGAAGGATCAGTCCTTGGAAAAGGACATCATGCTTGGTAAAGTACCGGGTCAGCAAAAAAAGAGGAAGACCCTCAATGAGATGGATTCACACAGTGGCTGCAACAATTGGCTCAAGCATAACAATTATTGTGAGCATGGCGCAGGACAGGGTAGTTGTTTCGTTCTGTGGTGCATAGGGTCACTATGAGTTGGAACCGACTCGACGGCACCTAACAACAAGTTGCATGCTGAGGTCTCAACGAATTTAGCTTATTAGAAACCAAAAAAATATGTTACCATCTTGAGCCTAGAAGGCTCCATTTTAGATAAATACAGTTGAATCTTTTGAGGCTTTAAAGAAAGGCTTTTGAAAAAAAAGTATTTTAATCCATTTTCATAAATGTTATAAGTTATCCTGCTAAGTGGCACTTCTGGTAGCACTTCACAGTAGATCTTATACATGCAGGAAAGCAATATAACATAACTACAGAGAATTTGCCCTGTGATGAGCTCAAATACTGACTCCAAATCCTGCATCATCAAATCAGCAGTCTCCCAATCCAAGAGAA